AAGTACATGATCATTGTCAGTGAATCTGTATTTTACCAAGTTTCAAGCATCAAAGTAAACAGAAAGAAGTATGATAAAATAAATGTTGTACTTAAAATACACAAGTACCAATTCGGTTTGAATGAACACATATCTTTCTCTTGAGGATCTAACTGGGTAGTATAGGAAACCGACTTTTCATTCAGTGCATTATGTATGAAGATGGGTTTTATCTATTTCAGGTCATGTAGATTTCATACATCATACAATCAAGCAAAGCCATACAATAATATGTAAACTTCTATGTGAATAATCATTTCAACTATCATTAATTTATTGCTTCGATATATATATATCAGCCAGAATAATGCTCACTAGATATATTTAAATTTATGAAGTACTTATGCTGAATACGTACATGTTGTATAATTCTTATCTTCGGTATTCAGTTACCATACAGCCTGCTTTCAAATCATCTGGCAGGTTGTTTACTTTCATTAGAACAAGGTTTCGGATAACTGTAAAGTTTTTCAGCTCAAAACCTTTTCTGAAATGTATTTACTTTAAGGCTAAAAGAATCCATTTAAAATATACTAATTTCTTTATTATTTTCATTTGGCACGTGGTCTGTCCATCTTGTGGATATTTTAAAGTATAACAATAAATAAACGATTAAGAAGTACTATATATTTTAACGAAAACAGCATCTAGTCAATAATTATTCAGTTTTGATCATGATAAAATGTGTTCACAGTTTGCTTTTTTTAACTGAATTATTGTAAATTTCAGTGATTTTTTTTCAAGATAAAAGCTATTTCAGTTTCGTGTATTGCGTTTGAATGAGTGTCTTGGAAAGGCTTTACGCCTGTCCTTCAAATTAGAGGTTTTATTCCAGTATTCTTACTTATATTTAAGTGTTTTGGGACGAAGGATATCTCAGTTACTTTGTTACCAATTAAGGTCCTACATATCACCATATCACTTTTGTTGGGAGCCACAATTTAAATTGTTAGGTTTCCACTTTTAACTTTTTAAAACAGTAATTCAGAAGACAAATGTTAGTCAATAGTGGTAACTTATACGGTCTTTTCTCTCAGAAGTATATATTGACTATAAAGGTGATAGTTTTGTTGTGTCCCGTAAATTAAATTTCATTGTGACCTTGATTTTTGTAAACGCCGCACAACTACATTTGGGATCGAACATTATTGTTCATAGGTGGTTGACAAAAAAACAGGAAATTTTATTTACCTAAGAATTGTTACTTACCATAAATCATATAACCGCATGATATGCACATTCCAACGTTGCTTAAGAAATCTGAGTAACTAAATTAATAATTTCGTATTGATTTTTTGACGTTATTGTTTACACCATAATTTAGGGATATTTTGTCGAAGCATTAAAATAATGTGTGAAAAATTGAATGAGTGAAAAAATACGTAAAGCTAAATGAGTACTGAAAACAAGTGATAAAACAAAAGTGAGATAAACAAATTCATCTGAATTATTACATAAAACATGTTAAAGTTGCTTCGCATCTATATCACTCCCTGCTTTTGAGTAATTTCTTTAATGAATGCCCCGTTGGCAATCCTATTCGACAAAACAGTGTGCAATAACGGTGAGCTCGAAGCGAGAACAAAGGTACTCTCAGAATTTGTTTATCCGGATAAATATACTTTTTGTCATATCCTAATAAGTAGAAAAATGGTTTTTCTGATGTTTCGTGACTTAATGTAAACCGCTTCTTCAAAGAGTACTGTTTAAATTTGTTTAAACTTATTTTGGTTACTTATACACTTTGAAGAAGTGGTTTACATTAAGTCACGAAACATCAAAAATACAACTTTTCTAATCCTTAAGATATAACGAAAGCATATATTTGTTATTAACTTCCTATCCAATGCTCACTTAATTTGAAACCATCATGGTCAACCTTGGCGTTAATACCTATAATTATTAAATAGTAAGGTACTCTCTATAGTAACTAAGTCCTTCTATATAGGATGCAGAGTGGGGATTTATGAGAAAATTTAGACTGTAAGGAAACGAGCATCACATTCCCATAATTCTTAAATATTTAAAGTAGCAAGCGTCTAGCTCAAAATAATAAATGTCGCCGTATTCAGTGTTATTCTTAATCAATAACTGCCATGAACTTAAGGACTCTTGAAAACGAAGAGTTAATTAAATAGTGTTGTTTTCTCATTTGACATTTCTCATTCGTTTTATATTTTTCAGCTTCAAAACCAGAGCATTTAGCAACACAGATGGAAATATTACCTTTTAAATATTATTTCACAAACAAAATAAAAAACTAGAAAACTGCTAACTACCTCATTCATCTGCTTTTTCTAAATTCATGAATGTGAATGAACTTTCTAAATCTTACAAAGATTTATATTTCCAGTTCAATAGAAATTAGTTCGTGTGAATTCATTACTGATCTGTCATCCTTTGTCAAACTTACTTAAAGTACTTTAGATAAATTTCAAATAAATGGGCTCCAAATCTTGAAGGTAAGGCAATTTTAAAATGTGCTTTTTAGTGTTTTAATATTATCTATTAGTAATAAAATATGAGAGTTACATGTTAATGCAGAAAATTTTTTTCAAAGTAACAACTATACTTATTATCATGAATTAACAGTAGTTGTAGAATAGATTAAAAACTAGAAGTCCATAGATAACTCTTAGTGATAGTTCATAAACACCAGTAAATACTATTGATTCTATAAACACTTAAATCGAATACACTTGTTTCCCTAGATAACTACTCTAACTACTATCCATACGTTCTTCATGAAACTTCAGGGATTTTAGTTAAATACTCAGTGAGGTCGATACCCCTGAAGAAGTGGAACGAAATTTGTGTATATGTCGCCTAGTAATTTATGATAACTGATGCACATACTGTGTTGATGAATATAATGTACAAACTCATACAAGTACTAAAGTGCTCTTATCTCCTTTTATATTTCTCCTCCAGTCCTATTAATTATATCCTATCCTATAAAATATGTATATACATGCCATGAGTATTACGTTACTAATAAATTAAATGCATAATCAACTATCTAATTACAAATCCATTAAATCAATTAATTCATGAACTAAATTACATTAACAACATGCATTTTAAATAAACAAAAAAAACAACATGGTAATAATGCTAATCATGCTGAATTACCTTAATTCATGATCGGAAAAACGTGAATTTAGCAGTACTTAATTAATCACTAAACAGAAAACTAAGCTATGTATTCAAATATTTTAATGATAATTGGTATGTATTTATTTTAATATATATGAACTGTATATAGGCCTACAAAGTGAATTAACTATTTATACAGGATCAACAATATATCAATTTGTCAATTACATTTGTTTCCAAATTGTATAAGCTTTAAAATGAACATAATTCAAGTGAAATTCCTTGTTTACTGCACTAAAACGAATCCGTCAGTCTTAAAGTAAATTGAAATACATGTAAGGGATAAGGTGTTTGATTAGATTTATCGGAATCCTCTATGAATCGATCAAAGATATGTGGTTCACTGAGAGACAAAATACGTTTTCACATCAAACTCACACTAGTTCTTTTATATTAATTTTCATTCTAGATCTTTATATTTTCTAAATCTTTATTCTCGTTCATAGTATTAACTTTGTGTAATTAAAGCAAGGTGTATTGAAAGGTGTGTGACATGCATATCAGTTTGAATGCCTTCCAGTACAATAATAAGGAATAAATGACTAAAACCAAATTATACGTAACTTGAAGCTTTCATAACTCCAAAGATGTAACTATGGAATTCAGTATATGAGCTTGAAAGTAAATTGTTCATCATTGAATCGGTAACAGTGTGATTTATGTTACCCCTAATACCTAAGATAGACAACTCTAACAAGTAGATTGTAATTAAACCATTTGATAATTATTTTCATAATTAAATTTAACAAAATCTGAAAATTTGTTTAGAAAAGTGGCCTTAAACGTTGTGAGCTTTAAATAGATTGATTTATTTGTTAGTGAACTTAAACTCAAAATCGTTTATTATCAGAGTAATCAATGCAATTAAACGATATCACCAACTATGATTTTATTATTTAGTTTAAGAACCATAAGGTATCAAGGGTTTTGTATATATTATAATGTGTCCAATCTTTAACAAAACAGATTCATATAGAAGTATTATTCTACAAGCTGCAATAAGAACCTGTTTTATTACTCGAATTAACTCAATTTCACTTCTTCCTTACGAATATCATAGACACGAATATATGCTCAGTATTTATTATAGCTTATTGTAGAGATTTTTGTATTTTATAGCTAACATCACGAGCTGATCTTAGGTTTATGAATGCACACTAGTGAAAGGTCCTATACTAGGGCGAAAACTCTGTTCAGTACAGGGTGTTCACTGTGAATTGACATGCTTCCAGGTTATCCTGGGTTTCGTAACATTATTAAAAGTAATTGCTACAACGTGTAAAACGAATGAATATTTCATTTGAATAAACTAAGACAATTCACCAAATATCTTGTCTATCTTACATTAATTTTATTATAGATACTGAAAGATTAAAAAGAGAAATTTTACCGGTCATCTTTTAAAATAAATAGATAGAATTTTAGCACTGATAGAAACAAGACCATATAGATCAGTGTTTTTGAAATCGCCTCCCTATATAGTCTATAATGTACTCGGACTTCATCATTCGCTAGGATTATAAAACACCAATATACATAGTACTACGTGAAATTACTTATGAAAAATGCTTCCTACCCAATCATTATTATTTCATAGTAGTTCAGGAAGTAAACGTTTATTTTATTGATAACATACTCCTAATGTTGGCCGTCAAATTCAAAAACTCATTACCTGTTCTTCAGCATACCTATAGATCTATATATACACCTGAGATTATCACTGCTAAACGGTGATATCAAATTGTGAATATCAGATTTATAAAAGTAAATTTACACATAAAACAAACTTTAGGAATTAATTTGTATTACAAGAATTTATCTTCATGCATTTTCTTGTTAAATAGTAAACAGTAGAAACTGATCAGTAAAATGAAGATGGAATGCACTGTTGATAGCCATCTAATTTGATTGAAAAAAAATCAACACCAAAAGAATTTAATATCAGAAGGGGTTTTTGTGGATATTATAGTAATTTTAATGGTTGAGATCATGAGTCAGTTAAAGCTAGACCACAATAGAACGAAACGGCCTTCCAGTGCTTTTAGGTTTTCCATGGTGGTCTAGCATCAATTGACTCATGATCTCAACTATTAGAATAACCAAAAAAATTGTTAATAAAAGTTTATTAAACAATAATAAAATGGTTAACTGATTTTTGTAGTATGAAAAAGCTGGTATGAAGCTTAGTAGTTGACTTTTATCCTTCACAAACATCCTTATAATATCAAATGACAAGATATGGTAATAATCATATCATAATGGGATTAAATCTATTTAAAATATCAATTAACATTGAGATGAAAATGACCTGAAATAAGGTCTACGCATCACCATTTCCTCACATTAGTTGAAAGCAAAATTTGTTATTGTATAGTACCAATTTCACTTTATATCCACATTGGTTTGATAATTCCTTTAAGCTTTCAAATGTGTCATCTTCATCAATGGGAACAACGGGTCACAGCTCTTATCTTTATTAGGTAATACTGACTGGTATTAATTTCTATTATCTATTCAGTTTTTAAATGCATGCGACACAATCATTGAAACACTTTACAGATTTATAGTGGTAATGCCAACTATCAGAACGAATAAAATGATTTTTCACTACATTTGTTCTTCTTCTTCTTATTCTTCAGTTATTGGCATTTTTACGGATTGCTTTATTATTTTTATAGTATATGTTTTTACGATAAAGCACATCTAAGAAAAATTGATTTTTGTCATAATTTCAGCACACTATAAAAGCTTTATTAGAGTTCAGAATTAGTCTTGAATTTAGTGTAACTAAATTATGTGTTCATCAAATACGAAATTAGAATGGATTTAGGACTAAATTTAAGCGGTCACCTCAAACTAATTAGTCTGACGACAAAATTATGAAGCATTTTAAAAACTTATTATTTACTTAGTAAATTCAAATGTCAATTTGAATGGAATTGACTTCAAACTTTATAATATTGAGTTGCTTAACTGAAATATGGAATTCATCCCAACTTGAAATAAATGATAAGACATTAGGAGATATATTAATTTTGAAGAGAATTAAAAGGTACAAAGACAAGTTAGTCTAAAGGGGGTTGAAACGAAGTCACAATTTATTTGATTCAGCACTCTAATGAAACTACAAAAAGTAGACATTTGTTTTTTTTAGATACTATCTCAAAGTTTAATAAAAACTCAAAAAGTGACGAATTCTACTATCTGTTAAATATTGTTTCAGGGTTGATGTCGATGATATTGGTTTTGTCAGATGAAATGAACACTAAGTGAAGTAGACTTGAGTGTAGATAGGGGAAAAAAGTTATTTAATAATGGACCGATAGAACACAGGCCAAATAAAACCGGACAATAATTATTTAAATCAGCCTATGAGTCAGATTTTCTTCAAAAATCAGTCATCCTTTTCAGGTCGCTTACATTTTTTTCGCTTTTTCCATGTAAAATAAATAGGTTACTTGATCACAGGACTTATGTTTTCTGGATCTACAAAATAAAAGTGACCTGCTTTGTATTATGTATGAGCTTTACATGAAAATCGCTTGATATTACTTGTCTCCACATCTTGATGGGATTTAGTGATAAATACAATCATAATCTAAGAGACGCATTTTATTTCAATTATGGAGATCATCATTATTACTAAGCAGTTCTACTTGTGTTGTTTCAGACTTTGAGGCGGCCGGTAACAGGCTATTAAATACCTCCATTTTTATTTTTCTTCACTTTTCTATCTCTTTTCCACCATTTGCATATTCAAGCTTATCATTCCCATACTTCATGTAACGCACTTTTTAATGATTATTATTTTGACAAATTTATTTTCTGATGTGACGATCTTCTTCTTAACTTCGAATAGTTTCTTATTATTCCTTCTGTTTTCTATATTCATATTATTTTAAATACAATTGTCATTTTGCCATTAATTGATTTTTCTTTTTTATTGTGATGAGTTGTGTAACCTATCTCATTGTTATCACTGAATAAAAGTACTTGAAGCCTGTGATGAAATTTCAGATTGCGCCTCAAGCTGTATCATGGATAAACTAATAGTAAGTTGTTTTATCAATTAAGTTTTCATAAAGGTTAATATTAAATGGGAAATAAAAAAAAACAATAAGACTTCGTAGGAATTTTTCCCTAGGGTTGCTAATTATCCGGCTATATCTATTTCCTTAAATCTTAGAAGTACACGACAGTTAAACGACTGAATTTAACCTAGTTCCAAACTATCTTTTATATTCACTTGGATAACTTGATATGCTATTTGCACAAACGTTGTGCCGCTTGCTTTCAGCAAACTGACAATGTAGAGGGTTTGTGGAGGATGTTAATTTATTTTATTTAACATTAGGTACTGATATCGCGCTGAGACCTAAGGTCCTAGGTTCACTCCGCCGAGAAGCCGTGAATGCGCACTGCTGGGGAGTCCCATACTAAGCTGAAAAAACTGTCTAGCACTTCATAGTTATCGGTAGTCATTAAAATAAGATCAGCAAAATATGTTAACTACGAAAATCTAAAGTATTTGATTTGATATGTAATGACACTCTTCCCAATATGTTTAGGATTCATGTATGAAACAGATCATAACTAAATATTTCTGTTTTATACTAAAATAGTACATTCAAAACAGCAGTCAGATTTTATAACACTTTTCACTGCTAATAGGATTCATTAATCACATAATTAGAGTAATTTAATAAAATCTTTATTTTCCTGGAACATAAACTTCGCTTTGTTCACCACTTTTACTATAATTTCATTTTCAAACTTACAACACTTATCCCACACTATGCAACTTTAATTTCAACTGGTAATTCGCTAACTGAAATTTAGACACTCAATCGAATATAAATCTCTTCATCAACAATGGTTTTATCTTTCATAGATAAAACATTTTTCTGGAAGATCTTCTTAGGCTTGTGATTGGTTATTTTGCATTTCAAAGTCATAAAGACTGCTTTCAAATACTATCCCCGTTATTGTTTCTCACATAGCCAATAGGCTTATGAAGATTTTCTGTTGGGTAGTTTGAGTAGTTAGAAATTTATAAATAACCGACAATATACTGGCTAATCAGTTAGTAGGAAAGGAGAATTAGGGAAAAGTTGATAATTGTGCAGTGTACCATTAAACAACTGGTTTCTTTACCCATCATGAACAATTTATCCTTCAATTAAAAAGATCTTGGAAAATATTAACCTTATCTGAAGTAGTGATTTGCAAGAGTTTGTATTTACCCTTTGATAATGTTAAGAAATGTAATTAACCACTGGCATTTGTGCATTCTAAGAAGGCTACCATTTGGTCACAAGTTTTTACTCAGGTTAGATAGCTTCCAGTAGTAGAATTCCAAACAGTTGGAACCATCTGAGCTCGGCAGCTCAGTGAGAAAATTGGTGCTTTTTGAAGCGAAAGGCACTGGGTTCAAGTTCCACTGTGACCTTCAACACCGAAATACATGCATACCCATTTAGTAAGCCTCAAATAGGACGAAAGGTGCATCCGAATTCTACCTCTGTCCACTATCAAACTTCAATGAAAATTCAAAATAATGGCTATTGCTAATCAGATGGTAAACATCATAAGTTTTATTAATCGCTCTATGTAATAGATAATGATGAGTAAATCAAAAATATAGTCAACTTCCAGTCCAATATCTCGGCACTACTGAATCTAGTATGCACGATAAGCATATAAATGCTTATAAGGATTCAATCCTCTGCAGATAGATTGCTTGTTTTCATTATCATTGACCTAGAATGAAGAAAAATAGGTCCTACAAAATCATATTATCATCCAAAGTAAATAATACAACTACATCTAATTCATAATAATTGTCTATCCTTAGAACTCAAAATTGATCATTTAACAATTTCACAGTTTATCTATTCAGTTCATCAACAGCTACTTTATGAAATTCTAAGTAGAAGATTATAGAACAGTATCTAATGGATTTAATTTAGAAAGGAAAACACTAAAATAAATAGGCGCAATGATGAACACTTTAAAGTAGAACATCAGTGGTATTTCGGTATATAATTATTTTCCCGTTCGTGCTATCATTGTAATGAATAGTCGCCAAACATAAATAATCTAAATTTGTGGGTAAGTACCAAAAAAAAACAAAATAATGAGTGTCATAAGACCGTTAGTATTGTTTGATTCAAACAGTTGAACCAAGCAATGATTTCATGAAAAATTAGCCACAGTTTCAGATATCAACATTGAAATTCAATGAAATAACAAAATGGAATTACTTTTATGAACCTCTAATGGTGTAACATGACATTAGAAACATACAAGCAAAGTCATTAAACAAGTCATGTTTATCTTTACTGTCTGTCCTAAGTGACAATTTTTCATAGTTCATCTAAAAATCAATGTATTTAAACTAATTAACTCAGCCTAATAACAAATTCGTTGAAAAGAGATCCCTTCGTTATATTTCACGTTTTTAATGTTCAAATAGGAATTATATATTAATTTTTGTTGTTAAGTGATTCGGAAATCTGAATTTTTTGTAATAAGATCATCTTTGGGGAGTAAAACCATTCATTTATTGCCATAAGATGAATTAATTAATTAAATCAGAAACTCCACAACCTAACTGTAAATCTTAAATTTGTTCACGATACTGAACCTAATTCCTTACTCACTTACGCCTGTTACTCCTCGTGGAGAAGCATGGGCCACTCACTAGCGTTCTTTATCCAACCCTGTCCCCGACAATCCTTTCAAGCTGCTATTCATTCTTTTCATGTCTGCTTCCAATTCCCGACACAATGCGCTCTTAGTCCTTCCTCTCTTTCGTTTCCTTCAGAATTCCAAGTTAGCGTTTCCTTCGTGATATAGTTTGATGATTTCCGTAATGTATATCCTATCCACCTCCAACGTCATTTCCTAGTTTCCTCTTCATCTCAAACCTCATTTGTTCTCTTCCACGGTAGATTGTTGCTGATGGTATCCAACCAACGGACATTCAGTGTCATGCATGAACATTTGTTCTGGTGAGAAGCCGTGACCAGTTGAGCTAATCGGTGTCGGGTAGAGACAGGTATCCACCTCAGTACAATGGAAGATGGTTGCGCGATTTTATGGATCGGTTGAGGTTAGACATTAACACTGTTGAATGCCGACTCTGTGGTCTAGAGATTAAGCGTTCGTGTGCGAGACTGAAGGCCCTGGGTTCGAATCCTGCGAGCGGGGTCGTTGATGAGCACTACTGAGGAGTCCCACAAAGTAAAATAACCGGCCGTCCAGTGCTTCTAATGGTGGTCTAACATCAATCAGTTCATGATCTCAATCAAAAACTTAATAATCTACACAACCCTATATTGATAATTGTTCACAAATACTTGTACCTCATTGATGATGGTTGTGATGGTTCTCCAATTTTCAGCTCCGTATAGTAGAACTGTCTTGACGTTCGTACTCCGTCGTATGAATTCCGAACGATGTTGACGATTTCCTCAGGTACTCCATAGTGTAAAAGTTTCCAAACTGTCAAATGGTTTCTCATAGTCAAGGAAGTTGATGTATATTGACTAGTTCCATTCAGTTGATTTTTCAACAATTATCTGTAGTGTCTCAATTTGGTCTGTGGATGACCAATCCTTACGTAATCCAGCCTGTTGACCTCGAAGTTGATCGTCTAAACCTAATTCGTAACTCTAGCTTTGTAAACCACACATTCATATTTGGTGTATTATGACTGTCTGGATATGTTAAGAATTTGTCGAAATAGTCTAAAGAGTCACTCAACGTCGTCCTTATAGTTCGGCTTCACCAAAATACTAAGCTTAATGAAATTGATTTGTTTAGTCTTCAGTTACATCGAATATCATAACAATCTTGTTATCGACCCAAAAATGTTGACTTCAATAATGTTGTGAAATGCTTAAATTTCATTCTGATTGGCTGTTTATATATATATTCGTTAGGGAAAATGAACGCCTTTCCGTGAAATTTTTTGCCTACTAAAAACTATTTATCACTGTAATTCATAGTATTTGTTCTGTTTTAGTACTACTGTAAGTCATAGCATATATCTTCAGCCTCTAATACCCTTTATTTGATATTTTCGTAAGGTGATATTCAAACGACTGTATATGAAATACTGATATAGAGGTAATCAAATTTCGTAGAAACAACATAAGGAGATACTGATATGGAGAGAATAAAGTGAAAATATCTCATCTTTCATACCAGAAAAAAGTAGTCCACTGATTATTTGTTCATTTTACGAACCGTTATTTGAATAAAAAATATTGCCAACAATAATTTTCAGTATTAACAATTATTTACCTTGCGTTCCATTCTAGATATTGTTTACGTGAAATACTTTCATAAGATTTACAATAGATTCTTGATAAAGCTGGAGATATTAATTCAGTAATTAGAAATGAAGAAAATATTCCAATTAGTATCCACCATAAGTAAAATGATGTTTCGTTTGATATTGATCTGTGCATAATTCGATCATCTAATTTATCTGTTGTATTCATAATATATTACAAACTGTATTGTTATCGAAATATTTGTAAAAGCAGTGACAACTGAATATATATATATATATATATATATATATATATATATATATATATTCAGTTCAACCCATAGTTTGTAAATTCGAGGTCTTTTGATTGGTGAATTCGGCAAAAAAAAAGACAACGACAACAGAAAAAGCTTTCAATAGTAGATTAGCCTATTTATTTTGCTGTATTTTTTATGTCTATTAATGTTCTTGACCTATTTTCTGATAGGTTTATTAAAACTTACAATACATCAAGCACTATTTTAGTTTATCTTTTTGAACAAATGGAATGGTTACCTGATTACTACAAACATAATCGTTTTGATAAGTGGGTTTTTTTTGAATTTCATTTACATTATTAAAGCGAACATTAAACAAAATCTTTTATGACTTGTAAAGTGGTAGCTCGAATGCTCTAACTCTTATCAATACTAATCATTCAACTACAAATATTTCCTATCTATTACTCTAAGATCTTCAACTGGCTTTAGTTTGCATGTGACTAAAACCCTTTTTTTAATTATCTGGAACATGCAAAACTTCATGAATTTAGTTTAGGAGTTCATATACCTATTTTATATTCATTCATTATAGCAAAAGAATTTAATTTATATCATTGAAAATAATTCGGTATTTCTTCTTTTGAGTTTGACTAGGACTGAATAAACCTTTCTTTTTTTGTAAGAAAATAGTATAAATTTTCACGTATAATAAATCCTTTACAGAACAATCCGACTGTTACAAGAGCAGAGACGATATAAAAAAAATTCATGGTTAGTATGAGAACTATATGTTATCAAAGACAGTAAACCGGGTTTCCTTGCAGGGTTTTATAGGATTATCAAATGTCACTTTATAAAGAAATCAAGTTTGCCAAATCAGTATCCTTCAGTGATATATTTAAGTTACTGCTTGTGTGAAATGTAGATTTGAATACATGAAAGCACAAAATCCTTTCTTGAATAAATTTATGATTCCCTGTTCGATTTTTAAAAAAAACTATCGACAAACTGAACAAACTCACATTAATCATAGTTCAGCACAACATTCAAATTTCCAGTACTCTATTCATTCAATGCCGATTGAAACTAATGAAACTAGCAATCAATAACTCCTATTTCCTCATACACTATTGCTTTTTATAATAGTAAATTTACGGACGAGTTCACTAATCATAATATAATGTTAGGCTTCATACAGTTTATTAATCTCATTCTTAGGACTCAATGGCTACTTATTATTAAAATACTAGAAAAATTACTTTTACGTTCTTCTCAATGGATACAACTTAAATTTTCAACACCAGTAGGATGCATTATTTTAAAACTCAAGTTATCAAAATACAACTAGATTTTCGAAGTTTGCATCATTTAAATAGATCCAAGTAAACAGTTAATCATAAACTTTAATGCTCTTGAATTATCCTAGTTCAGTGTTTGTTAATTTCATTATCCTGCAACATTATATTGGTAAAGTCTGTTTATTAACATTAGTTAAACTGATTATTCTACACAATGTTCTATATGTACTATATTATTGATGTATTCTGAAATACCATATTTTTCCTCAAATCTAGTTGAACAATAAACTACAATCTTTTTGTGAACAAATGTCATACAAGTTTAATATAGAAATCAGATTCTTCATTGGTAATGAGGCTAATCAAGTACCTGCACTTAATGAGAATTCAGTCATTATAGTTGATCTGACGGTTAATTGAGCCCATTTCTTGCATCAAAATCTTGTAAATTATTTGATGTTTCTAAAAAGAAATTCACAGGAATTTATAAAACTGTAGATATTTATTAATTAACTATTTTCAACTAGTAATACCAAACTGATGCTTACATGTCAATAATTCCGGAAGATGTACAAAAGTTTTGAAATATCATATCCTTTTTGACAAGGAATACTTGATCAAAAAGAAAAAATTAAACTGTGAAACAATAACGTTTATACCTAATAACTGATTTATTATGTAAATTGGCTTTGTTTCAATTTGTAAAATATATCCACTATACATTGTTTTTCAGTCTATAGTTTATTCTGGGAGTTGTAAGTGAATATTTTTCATCAATGTTTGGTTTAATATTTTATCATAAGACTAATAACGAAGAATTCAAGACATTATTTGGAAATACAGTTAGCTATTTGACTGGCCAATCAACCTTCATTTGTTTCTATTTGAGTTCAATTAGAACACTATCTTACTTAATTAGTTACGCCTGTTACTCCCAATGGGGCATAGGCAGCCGACCAGCATTCTCCAACTCACTCTGTCCTGGGCCTTCCTTTCCAGTTCATTTTTCTCACGTCTGTCTCTATCTCTATCTTCCTGATTTCCCCCTCCACTGGGATCTGGTTTTTTCTCTCCCACAGTACATTGTTGCTGATAGTGTCTGGCCAACGGATCTGAAGTATTTTGCGTAGACAACTGTTAATAAACACTTGTATTTTCTGGATGATGGCATTCGTAGTTCTCCAAATTACCGCCCCATACAGTAGTACTGTCTTGACATTTGTATTGGAAATTCTGACCTTGGTGTTGGTTGACAGTTTTTTTGAGTTCAAGTTGTTCTAGAATACTATCTACTTTGATTTAAGCAAGTACATTGTAGTACTAATATAGGTCTATCTGAAAGCCTATCAGGCAATCTGTATTTCATTATTAACTTTTGATGATAACACTTCTATATGACTAGAAATTATAATAAATTTGCTTTATGACTTTTAAATGGTACAAGACTTTATTCACTTTAATGACATGTCCTACAATCACTTACGCGCAAACCTACCATGCTAGCAAACTCTCATAATTTAGTTTAAAACAAGTAGATTCTCAGTACATTGCGAATATTTCTGTTCAATAATTTCAATATAACTTATCCACAGTAAGTAATTACAAAACGTTTATTAAAGTTGCTTTATCGATAAAACAATGATCCAGTGCCGTTACCATGGTAAAAAAAACTAAACAAATCGAAAAAATACATTACTGTTTTCATAGCTTCAGTATGATTGAAATTTCCTGTTATAAAGTTTCTCTTAACAACACTCTTATCCATTTCCTCATAAAATTCATTTACTATCGAGATGAGTAATCTCATTATGGTCATGTAAATAAGTTAAATTCCTCTGAGGACTTGTTTAGAGACAAACGGAGAAATTTTATTTCGATCAATTGTTTGTAATAATGTATTATATCGAAAAACAACCCCCCCCAATGTCACTACAGAGAAAATTAAGACAATTCAGTAGAGGAAATTCTCTTTATGGCTATGTCATTTATTAATGCTGGGCAATCTTCTTTATAATTAATTTATATTTCTATAATAAAATATACCAATAGTGAATCATTTAAAAAGTGATTGGAAGTGTTTTCAAGTTTCGAATAGATTACGGATGGAAAATAATTTTGATTTAGAGAATATTAAGAAACTGGGAATATAGAGTAGTATTGGGCCAGATATTTCTTGAAATATCAAATGTAAAACGCAAGTTATGTCATAATCAGACGGTTGATGAAGACATTTTATACACCATAGATAAATGTCCATTTTATGAACATGAAGAACGGAATAAACTGTTGTAACGTGTGAGACTGCAGGTTTTGATAAGCAGCGTTTTATCGATCGCTCCTGTGACAGTGACACGTAAACACGTACGGACGACCTAGAGCCCTGATTGGTCCCGCTTCGCAGTCTGTCCCAGCCAGTTGAGTCAAGAACGCAAGTCACAGCCTCTGAGTTATGAATCGTTGTATTTCAGACATACTCTATTTATATACCAAACAAACAAACCACATCGTACCATAAAATAGGAAACAACATTTACAAAATATTTAACAAGTGAAATAAACATCGACCAATAGGAAATGTACATTTAAGGTCCAAGGCCACCATAGACTTAACACGATAATTATTGGTATATTTTTCCGACTATCCTAACATAAAAAATCAGCTAATTAACAATTATGAGTAAAAAGAGGTAATAATAAAAGATTATTGAGTACTGGTGATACAAACAAGGCTATGACCATGGAAGCCTGAGAATTTAAACATGAATTTTATGTACACACAGATTAAGATAGAATTGGTTGATTAATAATAAAGCATCAGTAGTAAATGAGTTTCTGATTTATATTCCATTTGAACCACTTCGTTTGACTTTATAGATGACTTTGAAGAAGAAATCTAGTGGGACAACGTGACCAGTAATTACGAAATATTCAAGAACTGAACTGTTGACTTTATTCATAGGAACTGTACTTGCATCTACTCCATTAGGAACTAAGACAATTTTTGTTTGTTTTTTTCAATTTGGTAATGAAGTCGTATTCTGCTTGAGTTCAATTGAATTTTTGACTGAGTTTCATTAAGTAATGTACTTCTTCATTAACATCCACAGGTATGACCATTTGAAAAATATAATTTCGTGGATTTACGAGTGCTTCAGCACTGGTTAATCTATGTGGATGGGAACATTTATTGAAACATTGAAGTTGATTTGAATGAGATCTTTCTGAAAAATGATTACTGGTAGATAGCTGTTGATAAATATCTCTCAACATATTTATTTGGTTATTTATATATTTATTTAATGGTCGAGTTCTTACATTCTGGTTTTCTTCAACAAGAATCAGATATCTGCGTTTTGAGAAAATACCTAGAAACTGGAAATTTACAAGCCTTACCATTAATACAACTTTTCTACAAACAAATCTATTAGTTATTCAAAATCTATCTATATTTATATAAAACAATATCCGTAAATGATTTAATAAACAAATGAGGACTCAAGAAAGATTTAGAATACTACACTCACAAAAATCTCTTTCAGTGTAATCAAATCTCACAAGTAATAAGCATTTCTAACAATGCTTTTTCAAAACGAAAGAAGTCCAATAGGCCTTTTAGGAGTGTCTTTCTTCTTACTCACAGATTCCTAATGCAATTAGCGACGTTTAAAAGT